ATCTGAGGCAGGCTTGAAACACAAGAGTCAGGGTGGCTTCTGGGTAATACCAAATGGCTAGGCCTCAGACTGACGAAGCCTCTTGGATGAGGGGCGAAACGTTTCTTTTTAACAAAAAAACGAAGTCCAGATGACATGATTCAACCTTTTTTGTTGTTATATACCTGGATGACTGAGAAAACAAACTTTGTGTTTTTAAATTTTAAAGTTTGAATAGCAAAATTTGGTTCAGTGCTTACATGAAACAAAACAAAAAAAGTTTTCATGACTTTAAAACCCTTAAAACAAATCATCCAAATCAGGATGCAGAACTTTTAGTGGACTTCCTAATTATTTATTTTCTCTTTTAAATCTTGTGTTTAGCTTGTTGTTACAGGTGCGTTCCAGCAGGGCTCAGGTCCAGCAGGAGCTCAGGGAAAGGGAGGAGGTTGAGAAAGAACTGGGATTAGTGAAAGGCTGGATCCAAGACACGCGTGGCTTACTGCTGAGCCCGACTGCAGACCTGGACTCCCTGCTGCATGAGCTGGAGGTGGGCCACTTGATGTGCACACGCACCTAATCATTATTTTTAACAGTTGACACTGAAAAGTGTGTTTTGTTCTGTGTGCCACCTTGTTGGTGTTGCAGACGGCTCATGGCGAGGTCATCAGCAGGCGTCAGAGTGTGGAGCGCATGACGGAGCTGCAGCAGTCCAAGTATCAGGACCTGCAGGCTGGTCTCCCCTCTGAGCTCAGCATGCAGTTAGCTGAGGTGGCTCTGGCTCTGGGATCTGCTGAAGACCAGGTAACGTTTCCTCTTTTTACTTTTGCCAGTGCTTCTTCTGCTACTGTCCATAAAAGACTCGGATTGTGTGTGTTTTGATGAAAATATCTCAACTTTAGGTACAAGCAAGGGAAAGGGAAGTCCAGCAGACCAGGGATGTGAAAGAGGACTTCAGCTGCAGACTTCATGACATCGAAGCAAAGCTGAAGACCATCGCTGTGAAACTGGAAGACAAGGGCCTTGACCTGGAGGAGGCCAAAGAAGAGACCACAGTAATAAAACAGACAGATTGTCTAATTAGCAAGCCATTAACCCCGGTTGAATTGGCTGTTGGTTTTGCAGGTGTTGGGGTTAATGAGTGTGTGAGAGTTGGAATGGCTTGAATTAAATTCTGCCTTCAGCTTGACCCACTTTTAATCTGAAAACTCTAAATGGGAGTTGGAGCCCCTTCCCTCCTGTTCTTCATCTCGTTTCCCCAAGTTTTTCTTCTTCTGACCATCTGTAGACAAAAAGTCTTGAAGTTAAAGGAGAAGTTTTCTGTTTGGGAAACATTTTATTCATCTAAACATATCTAAATCTAAATTTTCTCTAGAAATAGCTTTGCTATAAACTTCTTATTAAGCCAAAAACTTGCCCTTTCTTTACCCTTTCATTTGTACGTCATGTTAGTTTCGCCTCACTCTTTAACCTCTTATTTCTACCTGGCCTCTCTTTCTCACTGTGTTTTTGGCTTTTTATTTCCTCCAGGCTCTTGGTGAAGAATGTGAATCCTGTCGTGGTGCTCTGGCAGAGTTAGGAGTTGCTGTTCAGGAGTTTGGAGAGCAGAACCCACTGCTGTGTAAGCAGCTCGGAGACGCTGTAAATAAACTGACCGAAGTGCAGCGCCACGTCACACAGCAGGCCCAGGAAAAAGCCAACAGGCTGAAGAAAGTGAGCAATTTCTTGTGAACTTCTAATTATGCTCAATATTTCTGGGTGTTATAATTTATTTTAGATCTTGCCTGTCAATTGTAGTAGTTTTCTTTCATTTTGTCTTGACTGAGCAGGCTGAAAGACAGGTGGAGGAATATCAGAGCATGAAGACCTTCATTTTGAGCTGGGTGCAAAAAGCTGAGGCTCTGATCAGCAGCAATATCATCTGGAGCTCTGCAACTCAGCTGCAGGAGCAAATTCGAGCGCATCAAGTGAGTTTTTCACTCCCGCAATTAAACAGTGTGAATTGCTTTAAATATGTCCTAAAGTTGCGTTTATCGCATCTGCAATATTTTCCACTGAAATTGATACATAATTACCCTATTAAGTCTGAAGATACCGCTCATATTTGCAGCTAATTAAATAGTGATTCCCAGTGAAATGTTGGCTGACCTTAATTAGCGTAATTGCCTTGCAGGAATAACCTCCTCTCTTTGACTTGTAATTTACGGTCTTATGGTGACAGGCGTTACTGAGGGAGTGTCGCGGTCTCCATGGTGACTTGGAGGTCATGGGGGAGCGGGAGGGGCAGCTGGCGGATGTGTTGCAAACGGAGGTATGGAGCCAGCAGGTGAAACACCTCAGCCGACGCACCGAGGAGCTGCAGCAATCTGCTAAGAGCCGCCTCCAGAATCTGCAGGATGCAGCAAAAGTAAACACTTTTAGATTAAAAAAATACTATATTAGGTATTTTGATAGAATATATTACCAAATTATGTTAATTACAATAATATGACCAATAATTTGTAGTTTTCTTCATAAATCCAAATATTTCAGTGCCAAACCTTCCAAATGTTTGGCAGCAGTGCCCTCTTGTGGTCAATTAGAATATTACATCATCATATTTGAACGCACCTTATTAATCTGTAACCCATTCTTAATTATCCAGAAACTGGTACCACATCTGTAACAAACTGCTATTATTTGCAAATGGCATTGTGTGTCTGTGCAGTTTTTTTTCGTCAACTTGATTTTCTTTTTTGTTTGTTTATGTTTGTTGCAATGAACACAACTTTAATCAGCGTCTCCCCTTAATTTAGTGTTTCTTCCACAAAGAAATGGGAGTCTGTGGGAAATAATGAAGCTGTGGTTTTAGAAGAGGCTGAAAGGAGGAGTTACTTTTGCAGACTGAAATATCTACAAAAGAAGATCCTCCTCGTCTACATGGTTTGCTTGAATTTGTTGTATCTGTATTTGCCTTTAGGACATGTTGCGTCTTGAAGCTGAGGTGAAGTGCTTGCACGCTGCTGTAGATCAGATCCAGGTTGCACTTGCATCCCCTGATCTCAACAAGCTCAGTCTCAGGGAGCAGCTCACGCAGAGACAGGTGCTTTTTCCAAATTCAAACATAAGATTTGTTTTATAATACTGTACACCCCCCCCCACACACACACACACACACACATCTATGTACAGAAGTTGAAGAGCCTGTCTCCCTCTGATGCACACTTAAATTTGTCCTTCTCTCCAACATCCCATCTTTACTCCTCTATAAGTGCCTGCTGGTGGAAATGGAGAGCTTCAAACAGCAGGTGGCTGCTGTACAGCAGAGTCAGAGTGCCCTCCGGCTACCAGAGGAGGCCGTGGCCAGTCTGTCGATCTGCCGCACGGCTCAGACTCTGCAGCAGGAGGCCAGCCAGCTGCAGCATACCACCATCCAGCAGTGCAACATCCTGCAGGTAGAGGGCAGGCCTCATATTCTAATGCTGTCTTTTAACAATCTTCTCTTGTGTTCCTATTATTCTGTGAGAGTATTTGTCAAATTTGACCTAAGTGATGACAAATAAAAAGCATTTATATAGTTTATAGTTATGACGTCCTTGTGATGGAGTGGAGACTTTAAAACTTGGTGCTCTGGTCTGAATTCCACTCTGAAGCCTCTTGACAGCCCCCCTGAGGAATGTCTGTGTTTTCCTTTAGCCCTCATCAGAGTGGTATTTTTCCTTTGTGTTTTGGTTCTGGGCGGGTTTAGCCGTGAAGCTAACGGTAGTGGTGGTTAAGAAGCAGAAGCGCTTTCAGAGACAAAGTTGAGGACAAATGCCTGAAATGCCATTCTTATTTCAAACCAAACACATTATGTTCAATAAAAGCTGAAAGCATAGCTGTTTTATCTGCTCTACGGGACATTTCTGAGATACAAAGTGATGTTTTGACTGTTATCATAGGAATTTTAGTTGCAGTAACTTTAAATTGGTTCCAAAATCATCATATAACCTCTTTTTGTTCTGTATTAATTGTGCCTCACAAAAATATCCATATATACACATTTAATAGCAAATACTGTGTATCTGTGACATTTAATTTATATAATCACATTTTTACAGGAAATGCTTTCCCTCAAAAGACAAATGATGTAAAACACACGTCAATCTGAGTTTTATTTTTCACCCAGTGTGTTTCCTCTTCGTCAGGAGGCTGTGGTCCAGTATGAGCAGTACGAACAGGAAGTGAAGAACCTCCAGAGGTTAATAGAAGATGCTCATCGCATCATTCAGGACCGGCCCGTCTCCACCAACAATATCCAAGAACTTCAGGCTCAGATTCACCATCATGAGGTATGAGTGCATGGACATGCCATTTTTATTATTTTCTGTTTGTAACTATGTCAGTATTTAGATTATGAAACAAGATCTCACATAGTACATTCGATTTCACACAAGACAACAAAATATGCCCGATTCAGTGCAGAAGGGTGGGTGTAGCTTTTGTTGTGACGTTTGTGTAGACTCGATGAGAACATCTACAACAAGCTCAGTCAGCTATTGTTAATTCATAGTCTTAATGCAGATTAAAACACTCTGTTTTTTTTTATCTGTGTGTATGAAATATTTCTGCTGAAGTAAAAAAAAAGAAGACACATTTTAATTAATCTTTTAAACTTTTACTGTGCTCCAGTGACTTTATTTCTCCAGGGCGTCACTTATCTGCAGAGGTCAAAAGTCATCCAGATGCTTGTGACAATTATTGAGCTGCTTGAGTTGAACCTGTTTTTCTGATGGAACATTTAAAAAATGGCAACCGATACGGACATTATGACGTTGGAGCCTTCCATTTAGTCACTGAAAGTTAAAGACTAACTTTAAGGAGTTAGTTTATCGAGTTGATTAATGACTCAGTCATTTCTCTGAAAAAAATACAAGGTTAAATTCTTCAGTGGCTTATTTGTGAAACACAGACAATGTTTCCACCTGAAAAGAACTCCTCAAGTTTATACTCTAAACTTCATACTGTTAAATTATCTTAAGGATTAATCAGATTTCCTTTAATGGAAGTTGGGACATTGGTCTTAAATAGGGATGCACCGATCCACTTTTTCCTGATACCGATATCTGCTGGTTCTTATCGACCGATGTCGATCCGATACTGATCTAACACAGAAAAACGGTGCCAAATTAACTTAAATTTTTTTTTTTAACGCAGACATAAATGTACTGAATTACAAATTTATTGAAAACTCTGCACCAGTACAGCACACTTAAACACACCAATAGCTTCACATAAGCTTGGTCAAACATGTAAAAACAACACAACTTTAATATGTTCAGTCAGTGCACTTATGAGTATACAGTAGTCCCTCGGTACTTTGTGATTCATTTATTGCGGACTTGCTCTATCGCGGTTTTTCAAAATAAGATTGGACCTGACACACAGTTGGCTGATTGATGGATCGGCCGCTCGATTGGCACGGCATTTTTATTTAAAATAAATTATTTTAAAGTACTTAGCACCTCCTGCACCTTTGTGCAACCTACACTGCAGGTTAAACCTCCTGCTGCAGCTGATCTCCATGCAGAGCGGAGAAGTGGGCGTGGCCAAGAGCGCTTGCAGGTGGCTAAGAGCAGCAGAGGCAGGGAGCTGAAATCATGTCATTCTGTGCTCTTTTAAAGAGTTTAGAAACATTGTTTGGAAAAAAATAATAATAATATATATATGTACTAAAATAAACTACTACTTAATACTTGTACTACTATTCCTACTTTGTGGTTTTTCACTTATCACTGGGCTTCAGGTTGTGGATCCCCTGCGATAAATGAGGGACTACAGTAACATCAAATGTAAAATAAATATTAATAAAAATTCTGTAACTGACAAAAAACAATATGCGGACAACTTTGGTCAAACATAATAAATAAACTTCAACAAACCTTTCAAATGGTCAGGAATTCTAAATATAATGTAAAATAAATAATAAAGGAGCTGAAATAAGAGGAAAAACAATAGCACCACTAGCTTGGTTGTCAGATATTTAAAATTAACAGCATCTGCTGTCCTTATGGACACACATTGTCATGATACACGATCAAGAATGTTTTTTCGATATCGGTATCGACACTAATATCGGATCGGTTCGTCTCTACCAATACCCAATCAAGAATTTTTTGATATTGGTACCGAAACTGATGTTAATATCAGATTGGCACATCTCCAAAAATGTGAATCAAAATATATATATATTTTGTTGTTGTTTTGTTTTGTCATGGCTGGATAGTTTAAAATGAAATTTCTTATTAGCAAGAAATTATTGAACTTAGAGACTGTCTGCTGAGTAAGTGCATTAAAATAAATACAAAAGATGAGTATGACTACAGTCACTGTTAAAAAAAAAAGTTTTAAAGGGCAAAATATCTGACGCTTCAATGATGAATTTTGAACATCAAATAGCAAAACTATAAATAAACCCCAAAACTTGGGTCATAACATATACTTCCTGTATTTTCTCAAAGTGTAAAAGCAAAAGAGAGAAGTTGTGGCGAAAGAACATAAATTACAGCATCCTTGTGTCTGAGTCAGACTCGATTTGGTCATTTATTTTTTTCTAATTATAGTAAGTTTAGATAAAATATCACAGTCGTTGTTTGGGGTGGACCTTTAAGCTGAAACGTTTATGAATAATAGTTTAACATCATCAAAGCAGGAGAATTTAGAGTTAACTTTCTGACATTCCTCCTTTATCTGATGCTCCATACCTGCAGAGGTGGATGACCCAGGGTGATGCATAGCGTTCTGTTTTGTGTTGCAGATTGCTGAGTATTTTAAGTTGTGTGCATGTGGGGGGGGGGGGGGGGGGGGGGGGGGGGGCATAAACCTGCAGGTAAACAAACCAAATAACTTTTTTTTTTTAATTCCATTTTAGCCTTCTTTGCAGATTTGTATCCATTTCTGGTGTTTGACAGCATTAGTCTGATTATATCTGTTTGATCTCTTCTGAGTCACACGACCTGATTATTGACCATCTGTGGGACCGAGGGAGTGAAGGAAGGAGGAGGTGGGGGGAGGAGGAGGTGGATCTCGTTTGCTGCGCTGTAATTTGACACCAGCTCTGTCAGTCTCCCCTCCCGAAGCTCTCCTTCGCTCTTTTGTTAAAACCAGGCTCTTTGGAGACAGGAAGAGGAGGGGGAGGGCGGGGAATCGAGCAGTGAGATCACTTCCTGTTTCCTCTTGCCATTTGTATATGTGTACCAGAGGGAGTGTCTGAGGGATTTTGAAGTGTTTCTACGAGGGTCTGAGCCAAACATCCTGCCTCATAGCTTCACCGCTGATCTGAGTCAGATGCCTCTGATTGGCTCGGAGACACAGAGAGGGGGAAAAACTGAGTGAGGCAGATCTTTTCTCTCTGCACACTTCCACTCTGTGAGGCTACGGCCGAGGGACCGGCCGGAGAAGAGAATGCGTTCGCTCCGTTTACCCCCCTCACACCACCACAAGATTTAACGCAGAACCACCTCAGCCACAATCCTTTCTTTTTAATTCATCCCCTTCAACCAGGAACTATTGATCGCCTTGACTTGAACCCCCACTCGTCTGACCCTGTGTGTGGGTGGGGGGGATGTTTTGACAGGAGCTGACCCAGAAGATCCGTGGCTACCAGGAAAAGATCGCCTCGCTCCACTCCAAGTGCAAGATGCTGACGGTGAAGGCCAAACACGCCACCATGCTCCTGACCGTCAGCGAGGTGGAGGGCCTCTCGGACGGCATGGAGGAGCTGAGTGACGAGGAGCTGCACAACGTCGTCCCCAACTCCACCTCGGACGCCAGCAAGCAGCTCCCAGCTCACCCCTCTGTGGTCATGGTGAGTGATGGTGCCGCTTTATCACATACACAACCCCAGGGACACAGATATGCACAGTATCCCTTCATCATACTTTATTAGTGAAAATATGATTATTATTTTTGTATCAATGACAGAAAGCACCGCTGTGCAAAACTCTCTAAAACTAATAACAAATCCATATTTACTTTCATCCCATCACTTTGATAGTTTAGCTCCATCTCCTGTGTTGGCTTCAGGATGTTGCTTCTTCTGTCTCTTCAGGTAATCCTGGAGGGACTCTGGAGTCCACACCATCTGTTGCATAACTTATTCATCTTGTCAATGAAAATAGATTTTATTTGTTAAGATGTAACTTATATAAAGATGTTAAGAAAACTTAGGCATCATTTAAGCTCCTCTCTAAAAGTTAAACAAATGACCATCTCTCTTCAAGTGCTGCTGCTCCGGCGCTCTCACAGCTGTCTGTCACCTGAATCTGTATTTATTTTTCTCATTTTTGCTTCTTTGCTTTGTCACGGTTGTTTGTGGTGTATTTAGTCTGCACAGGCTAAGAAACAGGATATGACTGCATGCGTGTGTGTGGGTGTGTGTGTTAGCGAGAGAGAGAGAAGTGTGCGTTTCTTCTTACACAGCTTTTATCTTTGATTTTTGGCTGCCAAACATTATAGTGTCATTGCTCACACAGTGTCCAGTTTCAGTGAATCTCATTACATAAAAGCTGATGATTTATTTTTATTTTTTTCTGTTTCGTCTCATTGCATCATGAAGCAGGAAGAGGTGGCTTGACTGTAACAATGTCCTGAGTCAGAAGGCTGAGTTATGTAGCTGCCAGAAGCAGCCCAACAAGGTTTGGCTCACATTTCAGCTCTGCCCCTCTGCTGAAGCACGCAGGAACGCTGACAACTGTGCTCCTTCTAGGACAACGTCTGCGTTCTCTCATTTCAGCTGCTCTGAGCTTAACTTTAGCCAGTCGTGGTTGAATTTGATCATCACCATTCGTCAGCTTCATATATCTTGATTTAAACAGCATATAAATGCTGATATAAATGTACCTCTGCATCACATGCAGACTAATGAAAACGAGTTTCTGATGAGCTGGACCTGTGACAGTTTGAGAGAGTGACGTAATCAGGGCTGTTTGCTCTGGGTTATATTTTCACTGCAGTGTAATGTCCACACTGTTTTATTTGATTACTACCTTACTAATCAGTAACAAAGTTGCTTTTTGTCCACTTGCTTCCCTTGTTAATGTTTGTTTGCTCTCTCTTTTTCTCCCTCTTGGTTTCTTCCTGTCTCTCCTCACTCCTTTAATCTGGCTGTTTTCCCTCCCTGTTCTTCTTTTGCACGCTCGTGTGGTGTGTTTGTTTTGGTGCGTGCGGTCAGATGACAGCCGGCCGCTGCCACACACTCCTCTCCCCCGTGACAGAGGAGTCAGGGGAGGAGGGCACCAACAGCGAGGTCTCCTCTCCCCCTGCCTGCCGCTCCCCTTCTCCGGGGGCTAACACTGACGTTAACCAGGTACTGCAGACGCCTCGTCCTGCTCAGCTTCCATTGACGACCACCTCAGACTTTTTACTAGAAGCCATAAATAGAAGCAACTTATCAACCATCATCCACTAATTTCATTTAGATACTAAAAAATAAAAACGGCATCAGTAACTTTTTTTAGATAAAGTCATAAAAATGTATTTGCAACCAAAATTACTTTGACTGTATAAACCAGTAGCTTGTATTTGATCAAATCATTTTGCTGAATTTTACAACAGTTCGACACAAGAACAGTAAATATGTGATTCGCTTGCTATGATGCACTTTTTATTTCTGTATTGCACCATTCCCATTCTGTTCAGCCCACTTAAACCCACTAAAGCTCCACGACTGTTGTAGAAAAACAACTGAGAGCATTCTCTTCTGTCTTTGCTTTATTTCACCAGCTTTACGTTGCTTAGTTTCAGTATTCTGCCAAATAAATTTAGCTCATAATTTGTGTTTTTGCTCTCTTAATAATGTATTAGAGCTGCACCGACTGCAACTGTCTCATCCGATTCTGATTTCTGCAAAGCTCTGAACTGGTGATTCTGATTTCTTAATGGGAACTATAATTACTGAGCCTTTTCTGTCTCTGTCGCTATTAAACAAAAAGTTGAACGTGTTTTTGCTAATTAAATCCCGCTGAAAGGGAATTGCTGTACATCTCCTTTACAACCCAGATTATAACTTTTAAAGCTTTTTTGTTTATTTATTTATTTTTTGCACAATTCAGAACATAGAAGTGCACAAGATTACCAGAAAAACGATACAAGTAGTCAAAGCTGTGTCCAAACAGTATACAGTAGTCCCTCGTTTATTGCGGCAGTTACGTTCTGAGCTCCCCCTCAATAAGTGAAATTCCACAAAGTAATGACATTATATTTATTTTAGTATTTAAATATATTTTTAGGCTTTAGAAACCCTTCCCACATTCTTGCAATGTTTTAAACTCTTAAACCTACGTCATTTTATCCACATGCATACAGTACTGTATATGTAGCTACTAAATGTTGCAGACGTAACCTGCAGAAACGAAGCCCACAATCAATGTTCTAAACTCTTCAAACCTACTAATTTAAACAACATACTTATATGTACAGTACAGTAGCTTCTAAATTTTACTTACCAGCGCGTCCCCGCTTGGAGGTCCTCGTGGGCCAACTACGACCTCTCAGGTTCACCGCTGAGTCTGGGTGTCTGGTTCTGGTCCGGTTCAGTGCAGCCCTGAGCGCTGAAGCGCATTTTGTGTGGGGGCAGACCTTCGATTGGCCGGCGTGGACCGGAGGTGGTCGATTGTATCTAAGTCTGGATTAAAAAAGTCCAGATGGATGGGCTCTGGATGGAGCCCCGGACCTACATTGGCACGCGTCCCCGCGTATTTCAGTAGAAGGAAATAGGGTTTCTGGGCGGGGCCCTGTTGGCTTATGGGAAATGTGGTCATTATAAGTGGGAATACAGTTTAGCCTTATTGGGAGAAAACTACAAAATGGCGGCGCCTGTCTAAAGTATTTTTTTTTGTTTGTTAACTTTTTACTGTACAGTACTGTATCCATTACTGTCCCAATCACGTGAGTAATATTAAAGTTAGTCATGTCTCTTGTACACTTATTTTTTAAAATATGTTAATGTGCATTAACAAACAAAGTCCGAGAAAGCCGAACTGCGAAGTAAAGAGGGTCTACTGTATGTGAAATTTTAAAAATAGCATCAGAGCTGTTAAATTGCAACATTATTCATTGTGGGGGTTTTTTTTTTTGGTTTTTTTTTGGTAGCAGTTTTAAATTATAACTTGATGGTTACAACAGTGAAACTGTACAATCTTTATTTATATTTGTTTCCAGTTTTTTAAGTGAGACTTAATCCTGTCATTAGTTTATCTTTCTAAACACTGCACAGGTTTAGTTTTGCGTTTTTTTTCTGGGTTTAAAATTTCCCAAAGATGTCCTGCGCTCATGCAAATTAGCTGCTTAGCTACAGTACGTTCACAGACCAAAGAAAAGCTGCCATTCGGTCGATTCCTTCACCTGCCAAGCAATCTGTGCATCCCTAATGTGTCATTTTGTTATTTTTGTGAACATAGTAGATAATGTATACAAGCAATATGTAAGATAAATGGACTGACTGATACATCAGTGAGGTCACAGTGCTGTTTTTGTTTTGTCTGCATTGTGGCTTTGTGGAGTGACATTGAAGTTAAAGGAGAAAGAACAGTAATAGGTAAAAGTGCAGTGTTGTGTGTTGCCTAGTCTAATGAATGATTAGCAGGAATCTGCTTCAGCAAAAAGCAAAAAACAACAGATTTACCTCACGCCGTGCACTAGGTCGTGCTGGATAGTCCTAGATTTTCACAAACGCTCTTTTGTGTGGAAGAACAGCACAGTGTGTGTGTGCACAACCTGGTTTATTAACTATTAACTTGTGTGTTTAGTTGTATTTTTTTAATTTTTACTCTCTCTGTTAAGAGTTTGGTACAGTTTTATTCAAAGAGGGAACGTTTTTAATCATTAATTACCGTTTTCAGAGTTAATACACTCGTTTGTTTCCGTCATATTTATGCCAGAGTGTCAGCCTGCAACCTGTTGCTTTAAACACCAAAAGGCACATACAGTATAATCATTGTTCTGATGCATAAATAACAGCGCTGCCTGCTGTGTTGTGCTGCAGGGTCGAGGCGCCCTGAACCGAGCACCCCTCCAGGAACTCTATGACCCCTCACTGGAAACCAGCGCTGCCAATTTGGACGACCTGCAGAGATCCTGGGAAACGCTCAAAAACGTGGTATGTCGCACCGTTGGCCTCGTTAAGCCAAATTAATTTAATAATGACTTCATGAAATATGTCCTTTAGCCTCAACAGAGAAATAAATCAACGCAAATCTTGCTGGATCAATTAAGTGTCAAAGATGATTTAAAAAATCATTTTTTTCATGTTTACTGTTTATGCATTATAACTTATCATTACTTATAGCTTAAACAGTAGATATAAGATGTTTATTTCATGACAGTTAGGAATAATCACAAATTCAAAGATCAGCTCAAGTTTATCTGAAAAGTTTCAGTGTTGCCAAAACCTAAAACTGCATGCAGAACCTCTTAAAAGACTCCAAAATCCATCTCAGATAATCTCTGTCACCATAAATCAAAAGAAAATATTTGATCAGGAGCATTAAGTTTGCCTCCATTTCTCTCCATGCACAGATAAGCGAGAAGCAGAAGAGTCTGTACGAAGCTCTGGAGCGGCAGCAACACTATCAGGAATCCCTCCAGTCCATTTCCACCAAGATGGAGTCCATCGAAGGAGCTCTCAATGAGGGCCTGGAACCTAAAAAGACCCCAGAGAGCCAGATGGCAGCACACCAGGTTGGGATTTTTTTCAATTTCTCTGGTGATTAGAGCAGAGTGCAGCGCAGATGATGTTTGTGATAGAGGCAATGTATTCATAAAGTTTAATCTGCAAAGCAGACCAAATCATAAAGTTAAATAAAACAACTCCCTATCTGGTCCACTGCTCGCATCTGTGACATCGTGGAGGAGCAACGTATTTGTAAATTGTTTTTACAGTAAATTAATAGAATTGATAATTTATGTTAATTTCATTCAACAATCATGTAAAACAGCTAGATGATGCATGAGGATAACAAGATCTGAAGTCCGTCAGTAACACACACAAATCAAAAATCACATATAAAGAGTATTGCATAATGATATTGGAATAAAACATTTTAATACAACATATAATATAAATTATTATAGGTATTGTGGAATCCAGACCGGGTCCGTCCTTGAAACCAGTCCGACTCCCCGTCTGGTTCTGGCGTCTGCTTCTTTTATTCCCAGAGAGGAAACTCGCTCTAACTCAAATAAGTCAAGAGATATAATTTCAGTTTATCAGTTTAATGTCTATCAGGCTGGAAAAAGTTACAGGTTCAGCGCTGAGGCATCCGTCTGACTCGTCTTAACCCGGAAGCAGAAGCCCCGTGTATCAGAACGTCCCAGCTGGCCCTTGGCTCCGCCCCCACATCCGGGGGGAGCACAGCCTATCAGAGTGGATCAGTGGGGTGACTATATGTGATGTCACTGGTCTTATCTGTTTCTGATGGTGAAAAATGGGGTGAATGTGCAAATCTATCTACGTGATGGAAGCCAGCAAAATAAAAAATGACTCCATATTGTGTGTTGAAATCTGGGAAGCTCACTCAGAGCAGCTGGGCCCGTCTCATCTGTACAGAACCGGGCCAGAACTAGTCCATCTCTCTGCGGACAAGACCGGGGGACTTAGCATGATAAAGTAAGATAACTCCTAACAGTATTTATTATATTAATATTTACCTGTTCTGTAGTCGACGCTTAGAAAATATTTGCTGCATATCCAGTGATGCTTCTAAGGAAACTTGTCTCTATTGATATTAACCAACCATCTTCTCAGTAGGTCAGGTTTGTGTAATGGAAACCTAAAAACAGTCAAGTATATTTTATATTTTACACTGTGTAAATATGACATAAATTTGAGGCAATACCTGATGGTACTATTTAATAAATTGTGCTAAATTGTAGCATGATTTTGCAGTGTATAACAATATACACCACAGAAGCTAATATCTTCAAGCCAGTTCAATAACAGTGATTACATCGGCTTTATAGGCTTCAAACATGGTTGGATCACGTTCACATTGAAGTAAATAAGATCAGATCTGCTTATTTGTGAAATGAGACGCTTGCTTTTTTCTTGTCAGTTTGTACAACGGTAGCGCGCACAGCTTTGTGGCATTTTTATATACATTAGCTTACAGTCTAATACTATCATTATTAATTGTTCATAATCAGCTCTTACTATTTTGCCAATATCCACAACAATGCTAAGTCCCGACACTTGCTCCCTCTGGTTGTGGCTCCGTCCCTTCAGCACGTCACAACGTCACGTGACCAATGCGCCCTCTAGTTGTCTTATTGAACTCTATGGACCAAACACATCTTTTGTCAGAATAATAAATGTGGCACAAAAACAAGACTGTGTGAAAACAGAGAATGATTGAGGGAGGAGGGGTGTTGTTGCACAGACTGCACGGCACAGTTCGTTGCCATGCCAACATCACAGCTCCAATGGACACAGTTTCTTTTTGTCACATTACTGTCCGGCACATCTTCTTCTTGATTCATGCTTCTCTCAGCGTGTTGGTGTGTTTTCTAAGCTCTGCCATATTTGTTTTCCTCTCACTGTCTCTTCAGGCTCTTATGGATGAAATTATGATGCTGCAGGATGAGATCGGAGAGCTGCAGACATGCTTCTCTGAGGAGCTGGCAGATAACGACAACGATGGGAAGGCTGGTGACCAGCTGGCCCTTCAGTCCACTCTCACCGTCCTGGGAGAGAGGATGGCCACCATTCGCATGAAGGCTTCTGGGAAACGGCAGCTGCTGGAGGTAGAACACCTCCCTCTTTAATATATAAATGTAACTGATGGTCGCCTTTACTTGACATGTTCTTCATGTTGGTAACTTCTACAGGAGAAACTAAGTGAGCAGTTGGAGGAGCAGCGACAGGAACAGGCACTGCAGCGTTACCACAGCGAGGCAGAGGAGCTGGACCACTGGCTGCTCAGCACCCGGGCCACCCTCAGCTCTGCCCTTCAGCCCCAGAATGAAGACATGGACATGGAGGAGCAGCTCATCGACTGTCAGGTCAGACTCAATGTTTCTGTTCTCATCCGTTTCGTTTTTCACGTTTGACTGCTGGAATAAAGGACTTGGCTCGTTTAGGACCGGGTTTCCTCGGCTGAAACGAGCTCCTGTTCTGTCCCGAGGCGTCGCATTAGAGTCTGTTTTAAACAGGTTTGAGAGAGAAGTGAAGTGTCCAGCTTCACTCGTCACTGTTCCAAAAATAGCAGCTTTTCTCAGATTCATTCTTTCACTCTAAACTCGCTGCTACAATTTTAGTTAAACAAACTGTTGACCCTTAAAAAGTCGAAGCAAACTTGCAGAATTTTCTCTAAAACTGGCAGAAAATCAGAAAAAGAGTTGTTTTATTATAGTTCAACACATTTTTATTTGTACAGCTTGTCTTTTTTTTTCCCCTCAAACGCTCTTCAGTCGACCCTAGTGTTTTTGCACTACATGTCCACGTTTCCATGGCAACGGCATCTTTATTTGTGAAGAACTTACGACGTTTTGTCCTCGATAACACTTCAGTAAGAAGTATTTCTTTGTTTAAAATTCAAAAGCAGTATTTTAAACGAAATAAAATAGTAATAATTGTTTAGTAAGTTTTATTTTTGAGGCAAGTTATACTTTTAAAAACATTCAAACGATACGACTGACAAACTGATAGTGTATTTATTGTAACGATGCTCATTTACATGCTTTCTCTGCATGTTCTTCGGCAGGGACTGTTGTGGCTGAGTGGTTAGAGCAGTCGTCTTCCAATGGGAGAGTTGGGGGTCACATGCCCAAGTGTCCCTGGGCAAGACACTGAACCCCTCATTGTCTCCGATGTGTGTCCCATCGGTGTATGAATGTGATAAAGCACCGATTATTCTTTGTATAAATATAGTAGAGTGCTGTATGAATGGGAAAATGAGGGCACAGATTGTGTAGTAAAGAGCTTTGAGTATCTTGATCAGATAGAGAAGTGCTATATAAGTACAGTCCATTTACCATTTATTTCCATAAACGATTCCTCACACCAGCTCTTATTGGGTTCTTGATCACACAATCATAACTTCTCACTTCCTCCTGTGTTTAACTTTGTTTTTATTTCTTACCAGAGCTTGCAGCAAATATTAATAGTTTGCCCATTCTCCATGTTAAAAACATGAAAGTTGTCTTATTTAATTCTATTTCTTAATAAGGATGAATATTTACTCTATAATTCACTTCTCGGCTGTACTTCAGGTAGTCCCGCTGCTCAGACAAAGGGAACATTTTGAAGCATGTTTGGAGCAGCTGGGGGACAATAAGCTGATTACAGCTCACATATGCCTCCTGTGGAGGATTCAAAGGTCCAGCTCTAAAAACTGTGTAAGAGAGGAGATTAACTGATTCTGTGTAGAACAAGTTACTGGATGCTATAGGAATTTAAAGAAATGTAAAGAGAGAAAAAAAATTGTGGTTGAAGAATTTATACGGAGAAGTAACAAACAAATCAAAGAGAAAAGTTTGCTTAAAATGTTAAATTTAAACTATGAAAGTTTAACAGATTGACAAGATGCATCAGAGGAGTTATCAGTTGGGAAAGTGGATCCTCGGTTTTATTTAATTTATTTCTTGTTAGCTATTTTCAGAATGTTTAATCAAAACTTTCATAACTTTAAACGTTAGGACATCTAGTTATATGTGTTATAATAATTTTATTTTATACTACACTTGATTAGTCAAAAGAAAACCTAAAACAAAACATTGTTTAAGTTTAAATTAAAATATCTTTAAAAAAAAAAAAAAAAAAAAAGATTTTGCCTTCTATCTGACTGATGTAGTGGCAGAGAGATAAGGAACTCTTGCAAGTATAACAAAGAAAACATCGTTTTGTTTTTCGCACAGCTTCTGGTACATTTCTCTGTTTAAACTTGAAAAGGAAGGTTACATTTGCTTTTTCCCGAAGGAAAAAGAGGCCTTGAGAGAAACAGACAAACATCTGCACGTTGCTAAAGTTTGTCTCGTGTGTTTCCAGAACATGCTGTTTGAGATCGAGCAGAAAGTCTCCTACCTGTCGGAGCTCTCCATCCACAGCGAGAGCTTACTGCTGGAGGGTCGGGCCGAAACCAAAGAAGAGGCGGAGCAGCTCACGCTCAAACTGCACTCCCTCAAAGAGAGCCTGTTGGAGCTGCAGCAAATGCTGCAGGACAAACAGGTCGACATCCAGGTGAGGTCGATAACCAACAGGCTCGCTTTTCTTTCCCTTCCACCTCCTGCTGTTTTATTTTCTGGCTTTGCTGCTTTTTGTTGAACTGGGTACCAGCATCAATGGTTGTTTTGTGCAAAAAGTACTAAAGGTCATGGCCTTTTAAAAAACAGGCCACTGTCATTTTTCTATTAAACAGTTTCTAGATAGTTTTTTGAATGCCACAAAACTTGAATGAATAAGAATGTCATTATTACGCACCAAAACATTTGCTTGTCTTTTCCACGAGCATCTTCCTGTCAGTAGAAAACAGATAAATGACGCTTTTTCTTAGGTTTTGGCGTTAAACTGTATGCGGCATGTGTTTCCTCCAGGGTTCATTGCAGGAGCAAGAGGACAGTGAGCCAGACTCGTCCCTGTCTCAGAGTCCAAACGTCCAGGACTGGTTGTCTCAGGCTCGCTCGACCCGCTCTCAGCAGCACCACGACAACCTGCTTCGAAAGAGGGTAAGACCAATCTCCACTTATTGTATGTGACAGTAAAGTAATGTACTAAATGTCAAACAATTTGTGTCATAAGGAGAATGCACTTGTTAAAAACAAATGAATCATAAGAGACGGGAAAAAAAAGATCTGTGTATGAATCTGAAAAAGGGTTTGTGTTTTTAGGAGCTGCAGGAGCAGGTGGAGAAACAGAAGAAGCTGCTTCAGTCTGTAGCCAGTGTTGGGGAGGAGCTGCTCACCCTGCAGAGCACAACGAACGGAGAAAGGTACATTTGATCCATTTCTTTACCCACACACTTAAGCTCAATCAAACCTCCATCGAACATATCTTCATCACTTATTAATAACTTTGATAGCTTGATTGAAATTGCATTTTTTTCAAGTATAACCATGAGTGAGTATTTTAACCATAAATGCTTCATCTCCAAATGTTTACTCTTAAACAACTTGTTTTGATTCGTTCTAGTGAAGTTTTTAAACCGTGTACCATGCAATAAAAATTTCTCTCCTTTTTCTCACAGTGAGATGTCTGTTCCTGGCGGGGTGTTGTTGGAGGCTGAGACGTTGTCTCCTCTGGACCAGATGAGACAACGATGGGAAAACTTAAATAAAGACCAGAGCACAAAGCTTCAGCTCTCCCTCAACTCCTTAGAACAAGACCAGCTCAGCCCAGTATGTGTGGCTCATTTTTATTTTCAGTTTTGTTCAAGAAAGTCAAACATTTTTGAGTAAACCTTTAAATATGACATTAGGAGGACGTAATATCAAATGTACATGTTCAGTGTATTATTGTATTTGTTGTTAGTATGAGCTTCGTGTGGTCATTCTCAGGTCCTTCACCGGTCTCGTCTGACCAGTCCAAGTGTGGTGTTTAAGAGCGAGGCTTCCAGTCAGGATTCTTCCTCTCCTCGAGCGCTGTTTGAGGCCTGCAGCCAGACTCTAGAAAGAATCAAAGAAGAGGTAAATCCTCAATTACGTCATGTTATTCTCGTGTCATTTTATCTGTCTTTAATCGGGATGTAAAAGCTTCACCTCTGACTGCTTATTTCAATAAATGCTCTTTCTTTTTTCCTCGACCACAGGCAGCAGGCAGTGACGGCAAACTGACGACATCGTTTGGAGGGACAACCGTTCAGCAGGATCTGTACGCTGCGGTATCAGCTGCCTCCTCCTGGTTAGATGCAGCCGAGAATCACCTGCTCTCTGGTCCTGTGCTGCTGTCAGAAGACACAGAGACTCAGCTCACGAGCTTAGAGGTAAATGGAGACCAACTTAAATATATACATCATTAATAATTTGTAATTGTCAGTAGTGGTTTAGCATGACCTAAAGGTCAGAAATTAAATTTGACTTCTGGTCCTGTGTTCAGGGTCTGAATAAACAGCTAAAGGAGTTAACTGGAGAGGTGAACCAGTGCAGAGACGTCCTGGGTGGAGGAACAGCTCGGCTGTGTGGAGGAGAGGAGGGAGCCTTGATGGAGGACACGCTGGAGGGTCTGCAGGAGAGGATGGGCCTCCTGGACTCGGCTCTGGAGCAACACTGTGACGGCATGAGGGACAGACTGCAGGACCACTCAACTTTCCAGGTCTGGATATTCAACACGCATTAGGAGGTTTCATGATAAATAAAACTGATACATGTGTTTTTCACCTTGAACATGTGTTGTTGTTTTAACCAGAATGAGCTGAGGATGTTGTTCGCAGCGCTGACTGAATGTAAACATCAGCTGCTGCATAAGTTGGCTGGAACAACAGAGAGGCCTGCATCCAAACAGATAGAGGTAATTTTGGACGAAGGTGCACGAGAAAACAAGGTATGGTACAGAAACAACGAGCTGTCCCCTGATTGTTTATGTTGTTTATAGATGTTGGCAGAGGTGGAGAATAGCTTAAGGGAGTTCGAACAGAGACTGACTGAGCTGCGGAGCCGAGCAGATGGACACCAATCAGATCAAACCTCCAACCAGGAGCTCCTAAAACTACAAGTAAGATGTTTGTTATTTCACTTCCTGTGTGTTTCTGTTGGGTCGTGGTAGCTCGGTGATCATTGCTGCGAGTTTGAGCTCAGGCTGCATCAGGAAGTGGAGCAGCCAAAAGGAAAACAAACTTTTTGTTTGTTTCTTAAAGTCAAAATATTCCAGCTTCATAATACCATAATCTGCCAAATATGTCTGACTCACCGATGTGGTTTTTTTTTAGGATGTATACGAGGAGCTGGTGCTCAGGGTGGGCTCCAGACGAAGCAGCCTAAACCAGGGCTTGTCTCTGAAGGCTCAGTATGAAGCTGCGCTCCGTGACCTCACAAACCTGATTGACACTGCTCAAGACAAGATGGCGGCTGACCAAAAAATGACAGTGGCTTCAGTCATGGAGGTCCAGATCTTACTGGAAAAGCACAAAGTAAGGGAAATTATCCTTTTTAACCGCTCTGGGGGGATTTATTTTCCTAACTGACTTTAAAACAACTTTTTATCCAAAACAGGAGTTTTTCCAGGGACTTGAATGCCATATGATCCTCACTCAGACATTTTACAGCAAAGTGTCGAACCTGGTGGCACAAAGAGAAACCCAAGCCCTCGAAGAAACCATGACTTTAGCCCAAAATGTGCTCAAGCAAGCTCACAGGAGGGGGGTGGAGCTGGAAGGCATCTTGGAGGTGAGATTAATTAATATTTATAGAGATAAAGGGCGGTGCTTTTATATATATATATATAATTTTCTAAACTAAAATATGACACTGTATAAGAATAAACAAAGCAAAATAAACTCTTTTGTTTTGTCAGTCGTGGAGCAGGCTCATGGAGGATTATCAGGCTTTGTGCAGACAGTTGGAGGCTGTGGAGTGTAGCATCCCCACTGTGGGTCTGGTTGAAGAGACAGAAGAGAGGCTTATTGAACGGATCAGTCTCTACCAGGTACACATATTTACAAATAAAGGAATCCACGCAGTCTAATGCAAACTTGAATGCGAGTCTTAAAGAATTAAATGTCTGAATAGCGTCTGAAGGCGAGTCTCGCAGAGCATCAGCCCCAGCTGTACCAGGTTCTGGAGCAGGGCAAGAGACTTCTTCTGTCTGTCAGCTGCTCCGACTTGGAGAACCAGCTGACCCAGTTGGGAGAACACTGGCTTTCCTCCACCACTAAAGTCAACAAGGAGCTGCACCGTCTCGACTCGACGCTCAAACACTGGAGCAGGTCAGGCTCTCCAGTTTCACAGAGTTTTGTTTAGTAACGTTTATCTCTCATAAAGTCTGATCCATGCTAAAAGTATTTCTTCGTATTTGTTAAAGGTACCTGAGTGAATCTGCAGAGTTGAGCCACTGGTTGCAGTTTGCTCTGGACAGGCTGGAGTTCTGGACGACCCAGTCGGTGACCGTACCTCAGGAGCTGGAGACAGTTAGAGACCACCTGTGTGCCTTCCTGGTCAGTTAAATTTTCTGCGCCTAAATCCGATTAGGTTGAACGCTTTTGGTTGAAATCTAGGTTTCTCTGTCTCAGGAATTTTCCAAAGAGGTGGATGCTAAGTCGTCTTTGCGTTCATCTGTGTTGAGCACGGGCAACCAGCTTCTGCGACTGAAAAGAGTGGACGCAGCTGGTCTGAGGACGGCGCTGGGCCAAATCGACACTCAGTGGGCAGAGCTGCTCACTCGTATTCCTGTAGTGCAGGAGAAACTGCACCAGGTCTGAGACCAGCTGCACTTTGGTGAACTGATTTCATTTTCATATTGTGTTATCTTTTTGTTATAGTTACCCCTCTGCTCTTGTGCTTTAGCTGCAAATGGAGAAGCTGGCATCTCGACATGCCATCGCAGAACTAATGAGCTGGATATCTCTCATGGAGAACATCATAGGGGAAGATTACAACAAAATCATGGGTGCTGTGGGCTCAGAGGTGGTCCAGAACTTCTTGCAGAAGTACAAGGTAGAAAGAAACATCTTTATTCAGATTTTTAAAATCTGATTCCGTCACTCTTATCAGTCTCATGATGTCTCATCTTTATCTCACAGGGTTTTCGCATAGATCTGACTTGTAAGCAGTTGACGGTGGACTTTGTGAACCAGTCTGTGCTGCAGATCAGCAGTCAGGATGTGGAGGGAAAACGCAGAGACAAAACAGACTTTGCTGAGAAGCTGGGAGCTATGAACAGAAGATGGCAGATACTGCAGGGGCTAATTACTGAAAAAGTACAGTAATGTTCACATTTTAGTGAGCTGTTTCTGCTCCACTTCCTGTGTGCCAGCTCCTATATGTGAAATTGTTATGATTTGTTGGTTTTTTTAGATTCAGCTTTTGGAAGGACTTGTGGAAAGTTGGTTAGAGCACGAGAACGGAGTCCAGGCTTTGAAAATCTGGCTCACGATGCAGGAGGAGAAATTAAAGAAGAAGCACAGGATAGAGGATGTAGCATCAGTGCAGAATGCATTAAAAGACTGTCAGGTAGGATTGGATTTTTCTGTGCATACATGACATGTTTTT